ACACACACACACACACACACACACACACACACACACACACACACACACACATGAACAACACCCTTTCATTCACTGCTGCTACTCGTGTCAGTTGACGACGATGTCGACCCCGATCGGGACGAAGAAGCGGAAGGCCAAGAGCTGCTGCTACTCGATTCGTCATCCTCTTGCACACGTTTCCTCTTCTTCTGAGGGTCGCGTTTCGGCGATCGATTGGCTGCCGCGGCCTTCTGTTGCACTCGTTGAGCCTTCTTCCTCTTCGCCTGTCGAACAACAACACTCTTTTCTTCCAAGGTCTCGGTCGGCGTGAAGGTCTTGCGTCCGTTCCTTCTTCCGCCTCTCGTCTTCGGTGCCGCTGCCTCCTTTCCCTTGTTCTTCCCTCCCTTCTTTCTTCCAGCCAAACTCTTCACTTGGCGCACCTTGCTCTCGTCAATTTCGGGCGGTGACCCTGTTGCACGCCGTGCATTCCTGTCATGTGGTGGGGTCGTTCCACCATCCGGGACTGGCGTGGTCCTCTGCCGGTAAACTTGGGCATGTGCGCCCTCCCCAGCGACCAGCCGAATGTCCTCGTCCAACCAAAGAGTGGGAGGGGTGGGTCCGGTGAATCTGGCCCAATCAGGGGTGTAAGACTCGTCATCAGTCCGCATTGGGGACATTGAAGCCAGGTGCTTGCAAAAGTCTTGTGCAGAGCCACGCGGGGCAATAGGGGCCACGTGCGGCAATAGGGAGGCGAAGCTCTCCCCCAATCGCAACTCCGGATCCGGAGTAAAGAACCCATCGCCGCTCGCAATAGGACCATCGTCGGTCCCTGTGTCTGCACCAACAGCACCATCGTCAACTGCACCAACAGCACCATCCGTAGCAGTGGCACCAGCCGGATCATCCCCATGCTCACCAACCGGATCATCCCCACGCGCATCAGCCACCGCATCAGCCTCCATCAGAGCAACAGCAATCGGGCCGTCCATGTCTGCACCAACAAACGCATCTGCCTCCAACGCATCACTGTCATGGGGGACGTGCGGCGACCCACCGGGTGTGGTCCCACGAGTTGTGCCTGCCTCCTAGAGCGTGGGTGGCCGATGACGGGTGAGCTGTGCTCCCAAGAGTGAAGCTGTCCCCTGCACCGAAGCTGCACTGCCTAATATGGAAGTCCGACGTCGTGAACGAATACCCTCCTCTGGCATCGTGATGTGGTCGCGCGGGGAGGAAGAAGATGAGCCACCTCCCGACCTCCTAGTCGAGCGCCTGTCAACGAGTTCCACTCAAACCAACTCGTCATCATTCTCGTTGCCATGGTCAGGCTCTTCGTTGTCAACATCAACAACGGTCTTCCCACGGTCATGATCCGCAAGACGGAGAGGGCGGTAAGAAAAATCAAGGAGCCATGCCCTGTCGTCCTCCCTCTCCTCCTCAAGCTCCCGAATGTCGAATTTGGTCGACTTCGATCTACGTCCGCGAGATTTGGACCAATTCGCTGCCCTCCTCTTCACTTCCTCCAGGTCGTACTCCCCGTCTTTCATGAAGCCATCATAAGGGGCCACGTCCTCCGGTGTCTCCCACTCCAGTCGCTTGGTGTTAACAAACCCGGTCTTCATCTTCGACATCTTCAGCAACTTCTTGTTCCAATGGATGAAGACGAGCATTTGCAAATTCTCCGGGCTCAATAGATTCCTCCTCTTTGTGTGAATGAGGTCGAAGGTGGACCAATTCCTCTCGCATGGAGAGGCGGTTGTCCACATGCTGAGCACCGCGACTGCAATCTCCTGCAACGACTTGTGATTCTTCCCACATGTCAACCACCATTGCGCAAGTGAAACGTGAGTGCATGCCAAAGCCTCCTCTGCGTTCGGCCGAATCCACTCCGGACTTTTGTGATGGAAACTTTCCAAGGACCTCCAACACTCTTTGTACTCCTTGGAATTTTTGGTGTAAACCGCAGCAAAGTGTGCCAGAGTGTTCATGATCTCTTCCGACTCCAAGTCGTCGAATAATCTAGGCGACCTGTGGAGTGGGTGCAACATCCATGCTGCTGCGTGCACAGGGAGAGCCATCATCCGCACACGTTCCTTCACCTTCTTCATCACGATCGTCCTTGTCTCGCAATCCATGGGCAAAATATTCATCCTCTTCTCCAACGTGATCCCCAAAGACCACACCTGCATCCCCATCCTCCCGTCTCTGTCCATGCCCCTCATCAACGAATAAACTGGTTGAAGCAAAGTGCATGCCCGCTCGACGGTCAACCACCAACCCGGGTCTCGTATGAGTTCCTTGCATGCTCGCGCCCTTGACGCAGCGGGCCGGTCCCACAGGGAAGGAGATACTGTCCCCAACAACACTGCCCCCACCTCCCGTAGTCTCTGCAACATAACGAAGTTTGTGCCGAATCTAGTTTCTCCTGGCTGGATCAACTCCAACGGCCTACTGTCTGTGATGCCCAGTTGTGTCATGTACTCCCTTCTGGCCCTCCTGAACATCGCCAATGCTCTTTGATGTCTCTTGATGAACGTGGTGATCTCCCTGCCCTGCAGAATCACCTCTCCAATCCATGGCACTGAAGCGATGTCGGACATCAGCAAGTTACACACATGGCATGCACATGGCACCCAAGGAATGCTCCCGATCGCCGAGTCGTCGTGTTCAGCTAGTATTTTCCTTGCGGAAATGTTCACCTGTGCCGAGTCGGTGCATATGGCATTAACCCTTTGCACCCCCAACTCCCTGATGACCTCCTCCCACATCCTCGCCAAAGCCGGAGCCGACTTGTCCTTCCCCTCCATATCAACACTCTTCACCATGACAGCCCCCGAATCCCCAGCCGCAATGAAGTTTATGACCGGCCTATTGCTGGTCGTTGTCGTACCGTCCGTCATCAAAGTGAGGCCTGTGACATCCCATGGCTCACGGACCGTGTCCAAATCAGTATCCATAGTTTTGTACTCCGCAGGCAGTGCCTTCATCCTCAAGAAGTTGTACCCTGGCAGTTTCAACATCTTCCGCGACCTGGCCGTCTCGTTCATGATCCTCTCCATGTTCTTATAGGAGTCTGATCTTGCAGCGTTGAATGCAATGGCGTTCTCGAAGAAGAATGAGGCGATCGCCTGTTCAAACTCTTTCTGGAGCTCATCCACGACAAAAGAGGCCATGGATGTCTGCTGCCGCCCCGCACCGGCTGAGGGAGGTCGTGGTGGGCGAGCGGAAGCCAAGACGGGACCCCGCAAGTGCTTGGCAATCTCCGATGGCACCTGATCATCCGCGCAAGTGGGGGCTGCTCTATTCCTGACAGAGGTCGATACAAAACCAATGCCGCTCCCTTCAGCCGGCGTCGGACCTGCCCTACGATCTGGCCCCGACGAAGGTGTGTCATGACCACCCTCCCCGTCTGTGTTCTGATCGGGCTCCAAATCGACGGGATCCTCCATGACCGGTGGACGGCCCTGCGTCCTGTAATACTCATTCAATTTCGTCATCATCAATGGGCAGATTTTTTGTGACGGGTGGAACTCGCGGACCGCAGCTGCAATCTCCACGGTGTTGTGCTTGCAGCGAGCAACCTCTGACGCCTGCACAAAGTGCTTCGCCGCTCTCGATGACATTCCGGTGAACTCCTTGTGGCACAATCTGCACCGCAATCTCCAGTTGCCATGAGCCTTACCGCCCGACAACTTCTGCCCTCGGTCCACCCATTTCCAAACATCGGACTTCCTCAAAAGTTCCTCTCTAGCTTCACCAGTATCGGGCATGAATGGTCCCCGATTGCCCGCCATGGTCGTCAAAAAAAAGACGATGGAAGAAGAAGGGTTGGGTGATGATGGTAAGAGGAAGAAGAAGGAAAAAAAGAAAGGGTGGCTGTTGAGTGCCCTACGAATTTCCGAATTAAAAAAAAAAAAAAAAAAAAAAAA